CTCTTCTCCTCCTCACCTCTCCCCCTAATTTGCCGCCGAGTTGATGTTGAGGAGGGACTGGCCGCCCAGGCATTTCTGTAGTCCTAGCACGACATATTCGTAGAACCCCAAAATGCTCCAAGAACCAAAGCATTGTTCTCAGAACATCAGCCGGATGTGTTAAAACAAGACAGTCCCACCCAGCAATGTCCCAGGAACGCTTCGTGGGAGCCAACAGAAGGTTCTCGGAGCGCATTGCTTGGTGGGCCTATAGGCACGCCACGACGCTTCGCCACTGCTTGATGATGTCTCTTACCAGCCTGAGACATATCCCTATCCCTATGCTGGGCATCTCCTCATCACGATGCCAATCTTAGGGATTCCCTTATTTTTTGAGGGCGGATCCCTAAGATAGTCATCGCCTGTTGGCGTGTCAATCTTAGGGATAGGGATCAGTTCGAGGCTGGTAAGTCTCCCCTGCCCTCCCGCCGCCCCCTGCCGGCCTGCTGGCGATCCCCGCCGCGGCGTCACGCCCCCCCTGGCCTTCCGCCGCCGCCTGCCGCCGCCGCCGTCCGCCGAGGGCGAGGCGCGCCGGGGGGGCGAGGCCGCAGGCCCGGCCTGAGAGCGCGCCGCCAGGGTGCTGCCGGAGGGGGGCAGCGAGGGCGAGGCGGATCCTCGGGGCAATACTTCTGTCCATGGCCACTGCAGCATGGAGTTTCGGGCTCTCTCCCACAGGAACCCGAGGCGCACTCGACATGGATAAATTTACCCCCCGAGGCTCGATTCTTATCCATGTCCAGTGCGCCTAGGCCTTGTGGCGCCCTTTCCAAGAAAGTGCAAGACGTACTGGATATGGATATAGATCTTTCCCACAATGAAGGGATTCACCAGAGCAGGGCCCCTGACCCTTTGGGAGGGGACCTGCGTGAGGGTGGCCAGAAACAGCAGGGGTAGGGTGCCCTTCTGCACATGTACCGGGCCAAACCGCCGAGATCTATTGCTCCTAATGTGAAGGCGGGGACCTCAGTGAGGCCACGTCTTCATCGTGTTATTAGGGTTTGGGGTCCTTTTCGCTCTCAATGATAAAAGACGTACGCGCCCACCCACGCTCATGAACACGGCCCCCCGATCCGCGAGACCAGCAGCGTGATACGAACGTTCGCGCAATGCGCACTCTCGAAAACGGCGTGGGTTCAAGTACACGTACGTCCTTCTGTCGCGTCTGCATATTCCGCCTCCTTGGAAGAGAAGTCAGCGCGGCTGGCCCGTCAGCTCTCGCCGGCGGCGGCCTTCGAATTATAGTCCGCCGACCCCTGCCTGCCAGGACGTGGTGGGAAGGACGTGGGTGGCAAATCTAGCGTTGGGCATGGCGACCCCAGTCTCGGCCTCTGCTGTGGGGCTTCCAACTCGACGACACATGATAAGCCCAACTCCAGGATATACCATGGGGCAGCATCCATCCTCCACAGGATATCTCTGAGCTCCCTTGTTGCTCGCAGCGGCCACTTTGGGAGGAGCTCGGAAGTTGGGTGCGACAAATCGACAGCAGAGATTCCCTCTGACCGTACCCGCCCACCCAACGGGCCCAAAGCCCGCTTGAGGCGGCGTGGGAGGATGGAGTGGAGGCGGCAGTGCACGTCATCCCCCCCTTGTGAGGGCCGGCTGGATGGCGCGAGCTTCCATGATAGCAGCCCTTGTAGTCGGCTGGATCCTTGAACGGGTGGTACGACACCATCGAGGCATCAGCACAAGTCCGCCAGCTGTTGTCCTCTGGAGGGTCGCAGTGGTCCTCAATGAGCAGCTCGAAGACCTCATCTCGCCTCACCTTGAGAATCTTCCAGAGGCACTGGTCCATCCACATGTCCTCACCCCACTGGCACGGTCCTGAGCACAGCTTGTTCAAAACGTCTATGCACTCATCGATTCCAGCGCCCCATGTCGTGACAGCGTTCTTGGAGAGCACCTCGATCGGTCCATGCATACCTCGCCAACAATTGTTCAGGTAAGCTCCACGATCCTCCTCAGGATGGTCTATCAAGATGGCCTTCAGCCTCGCCGGAAACCAAACAGTGTCAGGGTCCGTCTTCACAGTCCAATCGTACTTAGTATAGTCCGCATCAGCAATCAACTGTCTCCAAACCGCGAGAAAAATGTCGGTGTTCAGTGCCGTGCCGAATTCGCCCCCAAAATCGCAATGGAGGCTGACGTTTACGGCCCTTGACTTGACTTCGTCGCCTATATCCACCGATACATTGCTGTAAACTTTGCTCCCGTCGCAAGCGAAGATGTTCATGCCGTCCGCGAGCTGCTGGCCCAGCAAGTCCTGTACGCAATATCCTGATCCTGCTGCTGATCCTTGTTCTGGTCATCTCTTTCCTCCTCCTGCTGCTGCTCATGCTCCTGATCCACCTGCTCCTGCCATCCTCCTCAACCCTCCTCCCCCCCCTCGCCTGCTCGTACGTGTTGGGAAGCATGAGCGCCCAGCAGAACAGGGTGATCGACTCCCCCTTGCCCTGGTTCCGGCTGAGCGCATGGCACGAGTCTCCGGAGATCAAATCGGGGTCGTTCACTCGATCGAACTCCTCTCTGGGCGAAGGAGGGGCACGAGCAGTAAAAGGACGAGGGGCACTCGATCAAACTCCTCTCCAGAGATAAAATCGGGGTCGTTCACTCGATCGAACTCCTCTCCGGGCGAAGCAGGGGCAGGAGCAGTGACAGGACGAGAAGGAAGAGGGATGTGTGCGGGAGGGGGGGGGGCATGCGGCTGAGGAGCAGGAGCCTGCGAAGGCCTCCGGATCATGGGACGCCTGGAACCACGAGGAAAATGCCCCTGTTTGTGAAATCCCAGGTTTCGCACCATTCCGAAGTATGGGAAGCCCATCGCCGGACGACTGCCGATGATGATAGCATTAGGTTGGGCATGTCCCCCTGCAGGCGGATTTTGGATGACAAATCAAAAATACTCCAAACAGATTCAAAAATGCCCCGAATTACTAAAATAAAAAAACGTCTCCAGGCAATTTTTCTATCTTTGAATATTCATTCCATTTCTGCAGAGACACGCCCGACTGAAGAGCAGCTGAAGCAGCAGGGGCAGCAGGACCGAGGGGCGAAGGACGATCGCGAGTGGGAGCAGGAGCACAGGCAGGACGGGGAGGACGAGGAGGACGACGAGGACATCGACGCGAGAAGGCAGCAGCAGCAGCACGTGTAGATGCAGGTGGGGGCAGCGAGCAGAGGGAGGGTGACGACGACGAGGACGAGGAGGAGCACGGGGAAGGATGAGAATGACAGAGACGACGACGAGGACGAGAAGGATGAGGGGAAGCAGGGGAAGGCGGGTAGGCGGAGGAGGAACCCTGTGCGGAGGAGCAGGGGGGCGAAACATGAAGAGTTAGCTGATCTCTGCCACCGCGCCTACACGGCAGGGTTGTATCAGGATGGCTGTTAGCTACTTTTCAGGGGGGCTCGCCCAGGCCAGCCGCGCCATGACGACAGACGGCGCATCAGACATCCAGGTGGTGCGTGAGGAAAAGTGCGAGGCGTGCGAATGTACGTCCCACGGTCAAACGCCGCACGAGCAGCTCTTATCACTGCCAGGAGGAGCCAGCGCACAAGAAATATGATACCGTGTGAAGATGTGGGCCCACAGAGGCATCCGCCCGCTCAACATCCTCTGCCGCGTCGTCAGGGCCGCCCAGGAAACTCTGCGTCAAGACATGTGACATCTTGTCAGACCGGGCGAAAGGGGGGGATAGCAAAGGGGGGGGTCTGAGAATCAGCTCACGCAGCTGATTCTCCCGGCGCCTCCCGGCGCCAGAGGCGACTGTGTATCGAGGAACGGGCCCCCCGGAGGGGCCGAAGCCAGCTGCGTGCAGCAGATTTCGTAACCCCCCCTTTCCAAATCCCCAATCCCCCCCCTTTCGTCCGGCCCGACTCTCCCCACGAGCGGCGCACGTGTCCGTGCCCGCGCCCTCGCGGCCTGGCTTCCGGGGCGCGCTCCCGCACGTGTACGCGGTCGCACGGGCACCCTTTTCGCGCGGGGCAGCCGCGCAGAGCCGGGCCGCCTCCGCGGGGCCGGGGGGCCGGCCCGCGAGGCCGCGGACACGGAGATGTGAGGCGCCCACTACGTCAGGGAGGCCCTCTTGTTGAAGGGGCCCCAGGACACACAAAGAAGTACACACAAAGACAAAGATTCCCCATATTTCCCCATATGTTCTGGGTTTCTGCCTTCCCCCCACTTCCCATGTTTTCCCATATTTTCTGAGGAATCGAAGATTCATTGTGTCTGTGTGTTTTTTCCTCTCCTGACTTGTGAGGGAGTCCCGCCAGGGCCGCTCCTGTCTGGAAGCACCAGCGGCACAGCTGCCGTCAGGGTGTACTGTATGACTTGGCATCGCCCGGACGTCCATCCCCTGTGCATTCCTCTCGATGTCGCACGTCTTCTTTCCCGCAAGATGATCCAGGAGGTCCCTCGAGGATCCTCGCCCCCGAAAATCACACGTCCGAGCAATGCCAAGCTGATAGCAGCTCCTCTCGGGAGGCATTGTGCGCTATAGGCCCCTGTCGGGGGACCTGCCGGCCAGATGTGCCCATCGAGGGTGGCATGCGCGCTGAGCCGGCGGCGGCGTGGGGGGACTTCGCAGGCCCAGCGCCGATTTTTTCGAGACACGGGCCCCCGACCTCCCGACCCTTTCCCCGGGACCGGTTCTTCATCCCAAGCCGATTCCTGACGCTCCCGAGGCCCCGCGAGGGCCCCGTGAGGCCAAAAATTAAGAAAAGCCTCGGCCTCGATTTTTTGTTCGAGGCGCCCGATGTCTGGTGGGGCTGGCTGCGCGCGGCATCGCGCAGATCCCCGATCGTGCCCGAAAACCCGGGGCGCCGCGCCAGGCGCCGGCGCCTGGGCCCAGCGCCCGCTTTGGCTGGTTTTGTAGAGGGAGCTCCCAGCCCCCCGCCCGTCGGCTGCACGCAGGAGGTGCCCCTGTGGGCAATGGGGGGCCCTGTGGTGCGCGGCTCCAGGG